TGAATAGTAAATAGTATTTAATTGAGTAATAAGTCAAATTTAATCAAGATTAGAATCGCTCTTTGGGTAAAAGCTCACTCTAAGGATTGTTGGTACACAGTGCAGGAGATTATCAATAATGTTCAACTAATTAGATTTATTGCTTAGTTCTTGATTGTAGTATGCCGTAGGCTTATGGCGGCTACTGCTTGGTGGTGGGTGTGTTATGAGTTGTATTTGTGTTTGTTTGTCTGGTTCTTTTGTGTTGCTACCTTACCAACTCCTTGGTCTTGAGCTAGCATATGATTAGGTGATCTCTTGGTGCTAGTCTAGTTGAGATTAAGATGTTTCGCTATGATACTTGTTGCTTTTGTCCTCCCCTTTATTAATGTATCCAACTATATTTCATATGTTTTCATCAATAAAGTTTCCTTTTTTGTTGATCCAAAAAAACAAAAAAGTCAAATTTAATAAAGTATTAAGTGAACATTGAGTAGTAAGTGTAATTTAATTGAGTAGTAAGTAAAATATAATAAAATAATAAGTCAAACCTAATAAAATAGTAAATGGAGTCTCATTGAATAGTAAGTCAAGTCTAATAAAATAGAAAGTGAAGTTTCACATTGAATAGTAAGTCAAGTGTAATAAAATACTTAATATTCATTTTCACTCATTTATTTATCATATTACATCTTTTAACTCTCATTATCTATAGTATATTATATTATTGTAAAGTATAAATTGAAAATAAAATATAATAAAATAATTTAGAAAGACCTCTCATTTGTCAATATTTATTAATGGTAATAAATGAATACATGTACAATAATTACTTTCTTTTACTACACTTGAAAACATTAATTTCTATATAAGAATAGGTAATTAGGACAATATAGAAGAACTCTCAACTCATTTGTATACATAATGAACAAGATTGTATTTTTCCATATTTTTTCACAAAGAATAAGTGAAATATGGTGATTTAGATTTTACAAATTCAAAACAATTCCAGTTACTAATTTATCTATGTCTCTATCTCTCTTTTGTTTGAACATTATGCGATATTTTTAATTTTATAAATTTTAAATAATGTTTTATTTTAACATTAGTTGATGTTTCTAATTTATTACTTATTAGTTATTGTGACTTTGCTTATAATTTTTTGAGAAGACAAGGGAGAGGTGTATTTTTACCTTCAAGAAGTCTTCTTTTTTTTTTTTTTCTTCTCACTTCTCTACTCCCCTTAACTTCCCTTGAGCAAACTCCCCCTCTCTCACCCTCTCCTTGAGCTGATGAAAAAAGTGGATGTGGATTGGGACCAACTCTCAATTTATATAATATAGGTAGCTTAATGGCTAAGGGACTAAATATCTAGATATTTATTTATTTATTTATTTATTTTATTTACTTCTTTGTTGTTATCAACCCACTCTTCCACCAATATTATATATATATATATATATATAAAAACTATGTATATATTCAAGTACATAATAATATTCCATTCAAATAAATAATTAATGAAAGAACAATAATAAAAAAAATTAGAAATAAGAATAAATGTGTGAATTAATTTAGAAATTATGAGGTAAATAAATAAAACCAAATTTTAGGATAGTTCCAATCATAAAGTGGTGTTCTATGATTTAATTATGGTAACACACGGAGAAATTATTCTTTACTTGGGCCCTTACACAGATTTTTACGGAACTAGGGTTAAAATGCTATTAACCTAAGAAAAAAATTTAGGGTCTCTACAACCTATCCCCCTTAAATAAATTTCGTCCTCGAAATTAGATCATACCTTACGTCCCAAATAGTTGTGGATAATTTGCCCGCATCGCATCTTCACGTTCCCAGGTGAACTCTTCAATACCATGGTGACGCCAGAGTATCTTAAGAAGGGGAATTGTCTTCCCTCGCAAGTTCTTTTCTTGTCTGTCTATAATTGCTACAGGTCCCTCTTCAAAGGTAGCGTCCTCATTGAGTTGGATTTCTTCCCAGTTGATGATGTGAGAAGGGTGCATTATGTACTTTCGCAGCATAGATACATGGAAAACATCATGTACTCCAGCCAACTGTGGGGGTAAAGCCAACTTGTACGCAACCTCTCCGATTTTCTGAAGTATCTCGAAGGGTCCAATATATCGAGGTGATAATTTTCCTTTTTTTCCAAAACGAATGATCCCTCGCCGGGGCTGAATTTTCAGGAAAACATAATCACCGGTAGCGAAGGTTAGCGGTCTTCTCCTTTTATCTGCATAACTCTTCTGACGATCTTGAGCTGCCACTAATCTTTGTCGAATAAGTTTCACCTTTTCTGTAGTTTCTTGCACGATTTCTGGGCCCAATAGACTCACTTCTCCAACTTCAGTCCAACAAACTGGTGATCTGCAAGGCCGACCATACAGTGCTTCGAATGGAGCCATGCCAATACTAGCCTGGAAACTATTGTTGTATGTGAACTCCACCAGCGGTAGGTGTCGCTCCCAGCTCCCTTTAAAATCCATCACACAAGCTCTTAACATGTCCTCCAAAGTTTGAATGGTACGTTCCGACTGTCCGTCAGTTTGAGGATGAAATGCGGTACTGAAACATAATTCGGTCCCTAACGCTTCCTGTAAGCTACCCCAGAATCGGGAGGTGAAACGCGGGTCCCGGTCGGACACAATTGATACAGGAATTCCGTGTAATCGGATAATTTCTTTAATGTAGAGATAACTCAGCGATGTTAAAGTGTCGGAGATTTTATATGGCAAAAAGTGCGCAGTTTTCGTCAAACGATCAACTATAACCCATATAGCATCATATCCTCCCGGTGACCTGGGTAGTCCAGTGACGAAGTCCATTGTTACATGCTCCCATTTCCATTCTGATATCGGCAAGGGCTGAAGCATCCCTCCAGGTCGCTGGTGTTCTGCCTTTACTTGCTGACACGTAAGGTATCTGGCTATGAATTGAGCCACATCTTTCTTTATTCCCCTCCACCAATATTGACGTTTTAAGTTTTGGTACATTTTCGTCCCTCCTGGGTGCACTACGAACACTGAATGGGGGAACTCCTTTAAACTTTTTCTCTAAGTGACTCATCTTGTGGTACTAACACTCTACCCTGATGTCTCAAACTTCCATCTGAATGAATCGTCCAATCAGGTATAGGATCGTCGGATGCTATTCGCGCTTTTATGAACGCCACCTCTTGATCATACTTCTGTGACTCTATTACCTCGTTCAGTAATTTGGGTGTAGCGATTTGAGCGCCAAGGTATACCTTCTCGTCCTGAGCTTTCATCTGCACTCCAAACTCATTAAGTGTTCCGACCATGTTCCATTCCTTCAGTGCCAAGCTAGCAATAATTCCTCGGTTCTTGCGACTCAGGGCATCCGCCACCACGTTAGCTTTGCCAGGATGATAGGATAGAGTAAAATGGTAATCTTCGAGGTATTCTATCCACCGTCTTTGTCTCGTGTTCAAGTCCTTCTGCGTGAACAAATATTTCAAGCTCTTATGGTCCGTGAAAATCTCAAATTGTTCACCATACAAATAATGACGCCACTGCTTTAATGCAAAAACCATTGCTGCCAACTCTAGATCGTGTGTCGGATAATTCTTTTCATGCGGTTTCGGTTGCTTGGAGCCGTAAGCTACCACCTTCCCTTTTTGCATTAGCACACAACCTAGCCCATCCTTGGACGTGTCGCAATATACCGTATATCCTATGTCTCGCTCCGGAATGATGAGTATTGGGGCACTAGTCAATCTCCTCTTGAGTTCTTGAAAGGATTGTTCACATGCTTCGTTCCAATCGTATTTTACCCCTTTTTGCGTTAGACGAGTCATCGGCTTGGCTAGTTTAGAAAAGTCTTGAATAAACCGTCGGTAATAGCCGGCCAACCCTAAGAAACTACGAACTTCGAATACTGAGGTTGGCTGTTTCCAATCTAATACTGCTTCCACCTTGGCCAGGTCTACCGCGATTCCATGCTCCGACACGACGTGTCCCAAAAATGTGACTTCCTTCAACCAGAACTCGCATTTACTTGTTTTTGCGTACAACTGGTCGTCTCTTAAAACTTGGAGAACTACTCTCAAGTGTTGCTCATGTTCCTCTTCTGACAGTGAATAGACTAGAATATCGTCAATAAACACCACCACGAACTGGTCCAAGTACGGAGTAAAAATCTTATTCATCAAGCTCATAAACACGGCTGGTGCATTGGTTAATCCAAAGGGCATTACCACAAATTCGTAATGGCCATATCGGGTTCGGAAAGCAGTTTTTTGTATGTCATCATCAGTGACCCGCAATTGATGATAGCCAGATCTAAGATCAATCTTTGAATAACACTTTGAACCTCGAAGTTGGTCAAAAAGGCCATCAATCCGCGGAAGTGGATATCGGTTCTTGATCGTCACCCGATTGAGTTGTCGATAATCTATGCACAATCTTAGTGTTCCGTCCTTTTTCTTTGCAAATAGAACTGGTGCGCCCCACGGTGAGGTACTTGGTCGGATAAATTCCTTTTCCAGTAAGTCTTGCAGTTGCATCTTCAATTCCACTCCCGAAGTTCAGCAGGAGCCATACGGTGGGGTGTCAGGGATATTGGTGCAGTACCCGCTTGTAACTCGATACTAAAATCTACTTCACGATGTGGCGGTAATCCTGGCAACTCCACAGGAAAAACATCAGCGTATTCACAAACTACACGCGGAAGATTTAATTCTGATTGAGCTTCTTCATTAATGATCAAACTTGCTAACCATCCATCCAATTGTCGATGCCACTGCATTTTACGATTTGTTGTGCTCAGGGAATCCTCTCTATCCCCCTTAAATTGGAAACACGTTCCACTAGGTGTGCAAATCGTCACCCTCTTGCGGTAGCAATCAATCACTGCTTGGTGGGCGGATAACCAATCCATTCCCAAGATTATGTCAAAATCGGACATGTTCATGACCCGAAGGTCACAACTCAAGTGTAACCCTGACACTTCTAATTCACACCCTCGACAGATTAATCCTACCCTAATACTTCCTCCCAAGGGTGATGCAACACGTAAAGTAGTTTCTCAAAACATCTAAGACCTAATGATTTAACACATGAGGTTGATATAAAAGAATGTGATGTGCCAGAACCGAATAGAACGTGAACCCAGGAATTATAGAGTACAAGGTTACCTCTAATTACTGATGGATCTTCATTACCTTCCTCTTGGAGGGCAAAAACTCTGCCTGTGCCTTTTTGATTACCGGTTGGTCCAACCTTTCGGTTTCCTCCTGACTTGTTCGTCCATGGCCTTTGCCCGCCAATAACTTGAGCATTCGCGCTTGAACCCCCTGCTTGATTTCCCATCCCAGAAAGTTGGGGACATTCCGACTTCTTTTGCCCTATCTGGTGACAGTAAAAACACTGGATTTGTGTAATAGGCTTGGTTTGTAAACTTCCTTTCTGGCTTTGCTGTTGCAGCTGTTGCGACGGTCTGATGTATGGTGTCCGTACCACATTCCTTCGGTCATTTCTTCTTGGCCCTACAAAGGACTGACCCCCTTTCTTCGTTTTCATCATCCAAATCCTTTTTGAGTCTGCCCACTCTCTTTCTGCATCCAATGTCGTATCCACCACATCAGCAAAAGTAGGGAGGTGCAAGGGTAACACTTTACCTCTAATAATAGGGTCTAAACTCCACTCGAATTTTCGTGCTTTCTCTCCCTCATCTACGACGTATTGGGCTGCGTATCGCGCTAGCTCTTCAAACTTGGCTACATACTGAGTCACTGACATCTCACCCTGTTTCAAAGTTTGAAATTGCCAAATCCGCTCTTATCTAACTGTGTTTGGGAAATATTTTCTTAGAAACAATTCTTTGAACTGAGCCCAAGTCATGCTTGTCGTGTCCCGAGAATTTTTCATCAAGGACCACCAATGTTCCGCTTCTCCTTCTAGCTGATAACTTGCCAAGGTGATCTTGTCTGTATGCACAGTAATACCCATGGTTTCCAACATCTTTTCTATTTGACGAATCCAACTCTCAGCGACTCTCGGGTCAAGCTCACCTGTGAACACCGGCGGTCTTTGCTTTCTGAACTCAGATAACAAATATATCCGCTCATTTGGTTGCGTTCTTCTAAGCCTTCCCAACTCTTCAAGAATCTGGTTTCTGACTGGTCTTGGCAACTCCTCCGCAGGTATAGGTCTACCGCAATTAACGCCTTGATTGCGAGTTGGACGTCCTCGTCGGCGTCTGACTTGATCGTTTGCTTCCACATTTTCCGCCATCTGCCAAGTTTGTGGGTAATATAAGCTTAGGGTTGTTGTGAAGGCGAAGAGGTGTTCAATAAATAGTCTAATTTAATGTGGTCCGAGGTGTATGAAATTTATGTATTTTTCTAAATGGATGATGCAATTAAACCATGCAAAATAAAATAAAATACATACAACACACTAGATTAACCAACTAGATATTTTATATATACGCATATAACTTCTTCTTACAAAAGGATACACTATCTAGGTTAGCGTGTAGCGTGTATACACCAAAACAAAACACGCTTCAACCACACAAAACACTATTTACAAAGGTACACAAAAGGGTTCGTCCCACAACTACTACAGCCCTAAGTCAAATGATTCCTCTGGGTCTTCTTCGGGATCTTCCTCGGGATCCTCTGGTGGTGAAGGAGCATATGTTGGAGAGGCCGGAAACTGCTGGGCCGGTGTAGGGGTGTACTCTGACGACACCTCTATAGGGAATACAAGGGAAGCTCCAGGAAGTACTGAGACAAACGGAACCTCTAACTCAGGGTGATGAGAGCCACAGCTCTCGAGTCCAACGCAACGCATCACTGGACGCGGATCCTCAGTTAATACCTCTTGCCTAAGCTCAGCAAAAGTCTGATCATTCCGCTCTATCTAAAAAGCGAACCTAATCGCCCTGTATTTGCACTGGAGGCGTCGACGTACCAACGCTCGTCTTGCTTGCGCGGTGTAGTATGAAAAATGCTCTTCTGTTTTCCGAATAGCTTTCTTTATCACGCGCTCCGCCCGTAATTGACCCCGTCGATTAAGTCTTTGTGGGCTAACAGCTACTGCCCGTCTGTTCTGGAACCGAAAAACTCCCTAGTTATCAACGCTTTCTGATGTAGAATCCATCCTATGGTAGGTAAACAAAAAAATTTTTTAGTCCGCCCTTAATATGATATAGTATAATGGTAACAGAAAATAGTAATGTGAAAGGCAAGGATATCTAAAATCACAAGTCAACACGCGTGGGTTAAGGGTTGAACCTAGGGCTCTGATACCAATTTGTCACGCCCCAAAATTTAGACCGCAAGAGAAATATATAAACTACAACTCAAACAAAATAGATAACCACAATACGTTAATATACACATACAAGCAGAGTTATAACATGGATAACTGATTTTAGTTCCACTAGAGGTTTACAAATATTGTCAAACCAAAAGGTAAAAGAAGAGAGAACACAAAAACAACTACTAGTTTAATTTTCAAGTGAACCACGGCCCTAAAACTTCATCTTGATTGTCTTCGGGATAACCTTCCCCATCGTAAGCTGCTTCTTCACCTGGCATGACACGCCATGAGCTTGGAATGCCCAGTAAAAACACACACACCCCCATATCTTCTATCAATCAATCATACACAAAACAAATCAAGTAACATAACATACTTACATTAAGGTTTTATAAATCAGTAGTTAGACTAGGCATTTAGGACCCCCTAAAGAGATCCTTCCACCCAACCACAAGGATTGAACACCAGACTATTTAGAACTCCCCCTTTTGCTGCTTTGCAAACCTTACCACCTATGCCCACCTTCCGATTATTTACCAGTCAGTGGCATTGATGGACCTCAAAAGGGACGGCCAACAAGTGGGCTCGCTTACACCCAAATCGTGCCTCGGGCTCGCTTACACCCTGAACATACCATACCAAAGGGCTCGCTTACACCCTGCACATACCATACCAAAGGGCTCGCTTACACCTTGAAACCGCCGCATAGAGTCTGAATACATCCAGGTCAACCAGACTTAACTCATTTGGTTTTGATTCCATTCACATGTTTATTGCATAAATAATTCTGAAGCACAAGGGTGAACGTCACCCATTACCAACCCCTTTCCATTTCCCATTTATTGATCTTTTGCCAAGCAAGCTAGTCACATTCAGTAATTCGGTAATATAAAAGAGCATGAGACAAACATAAGAAATGAAATATAGCCCATGATAATCATACATAGGTATGGTAAGGCAAGCACATAACATTAGGCATGCTTTAAAATACTTAGAGACAAACAACACAACAAAACACCATTTCCAGCACTGTTCGGTTCTGCAGGGCTAACAATAGTGCTTTGGGAAAAATACTTCTAGGTCAAATTTGGGACTGAAATTGCACAGAAATAATAATTAACCTGTCTAGTTTCAATTCCAATTCACAGAATGTGCATAGCACCTCCAGAAATTCATCTACAAGCTATATTCGAAAACCTGTCCAGATTTGTCACCCGTTGGGAAAACTAGCTTTCTTCTCAATCTACCCAATAATTTTCGTCCAAATAAATTCCATTGAAAAGAGGACTCAAAATCCTAAATTTTTATAAAATAACCAACCTGAGATGATTTTTCTGGAATTTTATAAAATTGCAAGAAGTGGACTGTTTTTCAGAGACTCAGGACCAGATTTTTAAACAAAGTATCCAAGCCCTAAAAACACACAATTAGGGGCCAATAAAATTACCACAAGCTCTAAACACACCAAATATCTTACAGTAAATTCAGATTGAAGAAATAAATAAATTTGATATTTCTTTTAAATTAGAGAAGTTACAGCAGTGCTTAATTTGACAAATTTGTAAGGCAAAGTCACTAAATCAAACCCACATTCTTGTATACATCAAAAACCCTATTTCCCATTAATATGAAACACAAGAGGGCATCTAACAATAGGATGGGATGGTGAAAGAATTGGAGAAGACAAAGGGAAGAAGTGTTCTTACCTTGACTCAAGAAGGCACCATTTTTCTTCCTTTTCTTTTTTTCTTCTTCTCTACTTCTCCCTAATCACACTCTCCTTCTCTCACCCTCTCCTTGGCTGTTGATATGTGTGTATGTGTGGAATTGAGACAAGGCTCTCAATTTATAGGAAATAAGCTTGGGTCCTAACTTAATGACTAAGGAAGGCCTAAATATCTAGATATTTTTTTATTTTGTTTTTCAACCAATTTTCCATCAAAATATTATTTATCACGCCTATGTATATATTCAAATAAATAATAATATTCTATTCAAATAAATAATAAATATTCAAACAACAAAAACAAAAATAGAAATAAGAATAAATGTGTGAATTAATTTTAGAAATTATGAGGTAAATAAATAAAACCAAATTTATAGGATAAGTTCCACAATTCAAAAGTGGTGTTCTAAGTGTTAATTATGGATTGGGTGAATTTTCCGACCACACTGCCTGCTTGTAATCAGCTGGAGAAGCACTGGCGCAGAATAGATGGCACCTGACTAACCTGCAAAGAAATGGAAGAATCGCGGTGGTTCGACCACCCGGGGGCATCCGACGATCCAAGTCATGTATATCTCTCAAAAGATAAATCAAATACTAAACTCACAAGCTTGAGTATCAAAAAACATACCTTAAGACCCTATGGGGTGCCTCTTATTTATAAGCCAAACTCATCCTAGTCCCAATAGAAGCCTGAACTATCTATGGACTCAGGATTACTGCTTTCTGGGACTCCCAAGTGGAGTTAGGACAAAACTCTCTAAGGTCTTATCCTTTATCCCAGAACTAGAGTCTTCTCCCATCTAGGACTCTTGGTCCATTATCCCAAGGTTGAGTTCCGCTTTCATTCTAGAACTCTTTCCCTTATCTCTTATCTCGATTCCGATAATCTTCGGAGTAAACTCGGCTAGCCGAATGACTCGGCAAAAACGACCAAGACACGTGGCACCTCGGCTGACACGTCGGCGTCACCTTGCCACGTGTTGGTACTCAGAAAATATATCCCCACAGTAACACACGGAGAAATTATTCTTTACTTGGGCCCTTACACAGATTTTTACGGAACTAGGGTTAAAATGCTATTAACCTAAGGCTCAGGGTTTTCAAGCGTTATTAAAAAAATTTAGGGTCTCTACAGGTAAGCTACTTCTCTGATTCGTTTAAGGATCTCAAAAGGTCCGATGAATCGAGGGGACAACTTCACACTCCTTGTGAATCTCATCAAACCCCTCCTAGGTGATATTTTCAAGAACACATGATCTCCCACCTCAAAAGACAAGGATCTCCTCCTGTGGTCGGCATAACTTTTCTGACGACTCTAGGCCGTAATCAACCTCTTACAGATAAGCGCGACCTTCTCCATCGTTTCCCGGACCAACTCCAGCCCCAACATAGGTGCACCACCTACCTCGGCCCAACACACTGGAGATCTACACGATTGGCCATACAAGGCCTTAAATGATGCCATGCCAATACTCAATTGGAAGCTATTATTATAGAAAAATTCTAACAAGGGCAAGTGCCTCTCCCAAGAACCCTTGAAATCAAAGACACACCCCCAAAGCATATCCTCTAAAATCTGAATAGTACGCTCTGACTACCCGTCAGTCTGAGGATGATACGTTGTGCTAAAAGTCAGTCTAGTGCCCAAGGCACTCTGTAGGCTCTGCCATAATCGAGCTGTAAAACACGGATCTCTATTTGATGTAATCATTACTAGGACCCCATGCAACCTCACTATGTCCCGAATATACAAGTCAGCAAGGAAATCTGCTGAGTCACTCACACGTATTGGTATAAAGTGCGCCGACTTGGTCAACTAGTCAACTACCACCTAAATGGCATCACTGTCCCGTTGAGTTCTAGGAAGACCACAAGGAAGTCCATCGTAACATGCTCCCATTTCCACTTAACTATAAGCAAGGGTTGCAACAAACCCGCTGGCCTTTGATGTTCGGCCTTCACTTGCTGACAAGTAAGGCACCTCGATACAAACACCGCCACATCCTTCTTCATACCTCTCCACCAAAACTGGAAACTAAGGTCGTGATACATCTTTGTGCCTACAGGATGCACCGCAAGGCGTGAATGGTGAAACTCTCGGAGTACTTCCTCTCAGCAAGACTCTAGTACGAACAAGCAGTCACGGTATCTTACACTTAGGTCGGGATACACATTCAAGCCTCTTTTTACCTTTCCATTAGAGATCTTCTTCCGGAGGGATTCTACCTCAAGGTCA